TTATTTATACACTGCTGTTACAGCTGTTACAGTTCTGTTGTACCAGCCTCTCCACTTGTCAGTCCACTTGTCTAGTTTGTTACAATCTTTGATCTAGTGGTTGGCTGTAATTACAATCTTTAAAGGCTGTCGTGGCCTTTTCTTGTACACTTGTATTTCTTTAGTTTGTGTCCCAACAAGGTTTCTCTTTTTCAACGAAGGATTATTGGAGTGTTCATTTTGTATCATTTACTATTACTTATTCCATAAAACTTGTGCAGAAGAATATGGATTTGTTTTTCTTATGTCATTTGCTTAGTATATATATAAAAATGGGCCCTTACATGGTAATACAGGAACATCAAGAAAGAGATTAGAGAGCTTAGAAGGGAAAGGACGATTCATGTAAAATGGGTTCAAAGAGCAGCAAATGGGATGACTGATGAGTTGGTTAAACCAGGAAACCAGGAAACTAGGAACAGTTTTGGAGACGAGTGGAAATCTGTGGTACAACAGAAACTGTAGAGTAATTCTACCTTGCGGTGGCTTCCTTGGCTACCTCTCTGTTGGGTGTTTAATATCTTTGTAAATATTACTTGTTTCCACCATTGATATTAATAAATCTCAGTTATCCATAAAAAAGGGCCATTGCCCAATGTTCGTCCTGCTATCCAGGGTCTTGAGTGGGGTGGACTGGATGGAGACCCAATCTTCAGCATTTACTTGCAGAAAGCAGCTGCTCTTAGTCTTTTGTCAGATTGAGATTTTAAATAGCCCCCTTTTTACCATTTTCTTGGTATATTTAAATGGTAAAGTTTATTTGTGATCCATCATGTATTATCTCACATGGTCACCTTTTTTTATGTCTGACCTACTCCATGGATTGAGCTGGAATGCTGGATCTTCTGGTGCCCGAGGCAATCTTGCCCCTGAAACAAATAAGTTAGGCTACCTTTTTGTAGGTCTATTGCCCAAATTGAGATTAGGGTGGGCCGGTGGGGACATGTTGACAAGGGCTTAAGAGTGTCAATAATGAGGGGTGGGGAGTTTCTTCCCTCAAACTCTTTCTGCTATTTTCATCTGATTCCCTTCATTAATAGAATTCTTGATCTTGGTACAGAATATCAACATTGTGGAAATCCTCTTTCTGTAGAGGAGGTACCTGGTATTCAACATCACATCTACAAGAAATCACCTACTGCCAAGATAAAGCACCGTCTTTTGGCAGCCTAACTGGAGAAACCAAATTTGCATCCTCCATGGAGTATAGAATAAAGGATCACTATCATTACTTGTAGTATGTTATTGCCTTGGACTTTGAGCAATTTTCTTATTGTCTACATTCCTAACTTCCATATGAAACATACCAAGAAATGCAGAGCAAAGTATTTTGCTGGTTTGGTCTTTTTCTAAATTCATGATGAATACCAACTATTGTTCTGATTTCCTCCAGTAGTGTTATCTTATTGTTGCTTTCTCTGTTCCTTCTTCATACTGATAGTTACATATGCTTTTGCTCTAATGATTATATATATTGAACCAGGATGATTTCTTGCCACGGACAGCCACACCCTTGGAAGACATTTTCAAGTCACTTTTCTGGTAATGGGGAAAACAGTTGGTCTATATCACCTTTCATGATGTGTTCTTTCTACAGTCAGTAATTTCTAAACATTTATGTTTTTTATCAAGTGAAAACTAGGGAGTCCAATCCATCAATTTCCTTGAAATGACCCTAACCTTTTAGCATGGTTACATTATGTTGGCCAACATGTCCCCCATTATTTCTCTGGACAAGTGAGAACAATGTGGCTTACGCTTTTGACAGAGAAATCCAACTCTTTTTTTCTTCTCATGTAAGTCAGTCTTGGCCAAAACAGAATACACAACATGCACATGTGCACAAACATTGAAGGTGGGTGGATTCTGATGGGATATGCCTAGATCCAAATTCAACCAAATTGCATATATAGGATATTTGGATTTGAACCAAGTTGGTTAAAATGATTCTGATATTATAATTCCTTGATAAAATCAACTAAAAAAAATACTTTCACGACCTTTGGTAAACAATGTAGTTAAAACAACTCTGCTATATAAATCCTGTTCTCCATTTCACTCTATCAAGGGCCATATCCTCTCTCGAGTCATGAGGCCTTGTATCATTTCTCATTATCTTAACCCTTGTTTTGTTTTTTTGGCCTCTCCCTAGATGGTTTTGAATCATCAACTTGCATCAGATCACTCCATATTTCTCATTACCTTAAACCATCTCAATCTACTTTATCTAACTTTATCATCTATTCTGGTGCTCCTAAATTCCCATGAAATCACTCATTTCTAGTTTTATCCTTTCTAGTCTTGCCACTTATCCATCTCAGCATGCTTGTCCCTTCTAACCCTGTTATGACATTATATGCCATTGCCCAATTCAGATTGGTCTAGATTTCAATATAAACTTATTGTAAAGGGGTCTACCATTTTGAGCTCCATACATTGTTTAAGTGGCTGAGATCCAGATAATGACCTAATCAATTGACGGCCCTCTCTGTATGTGAATGCACACAAGTTGTACCCTTGTACTGGGGGTGCTTGTTGAGAAAAGTGCCAATTTTAGGAAATGGATGCTCTACTTCCTAAGAATTTGCCATTAAATATTCAAGTTCTTGAATGATTTGGGTTCTCTCCTTCCGAGTATTTATATAAATATATTGAAGGGTCTGGTTTTCCCTCTACTGAACAGTTTGCCATGCTTGCTGTGCCTAAGATGCATGAGAGATACATGCATTCCGGAAGAAAAGATGATTAAAGATCCAAGGCGTCTGTATGCACCTGGTCGCCTCTACCACATTGTTGAGAGGAAGATCTTCAGGTATCATCAGCTGCATTACAATCCTATGAATTGACATAAATTTCTTCCTCTTGAGCATTAGCAGCAAGTATAATATCTCTTAGAGAGATCTTTTTTTTTGTCGGTAACTTGATCATGGGATTTTATCAATGATAGGAAAATGGATAACAAGTATATCAGGAAATATTGCAAGAAGAAAATCATGAAAAACTGCGTTACAAGTTTACAACTAAAACAACCATTGCCCAATGTTTTTTGATAAGTAAAACGATGTCCAATGTTGGTCCCAGCTATCTGGGGTCTTGGGAAGGGTAGACTGGGTACAGTCCTAACCTTTGGCAATTTTCTTCCCTACAGAAAGTGGTTGCCCTTAAACTAAAATCTGCATTCTCACCCATGCCGGCCTGAGATTATACCATTACACGAAGTAATGGTCCCTACAAGTTTACAACAAAATAACCAAATATCAAAGTTGTTAAAGCATAGAGGGCACTCTTAGGTGACAGTAGAGCACCTAAAATTTATGGATCCACCCTTATCGAATCCAATTTATTCATACAAGTTATTTTTAATTCATTTTGTTAATGATATATAATATCAAAGTCAAAAGGTGCCAACTAGCTAGTTGGTAAGGTCTCTGGCTGGTTGTAGTGGAGACTTGGGATCGAATCCTGCCTGCACTAGGGTTGGGGTTTGGGGGATGGGTTACACTTTCTCATGGAGTGAAAAAAAAATCAAAGTCATTTTTAGTTCATTAAAAGTATAATATTTTAAGAAAGTTGTTAATGCTATTCAATATCCTATTTCAATCTGAATTTGGTATGAGTTCATTATAGCTCTGTTGGATACAATTCAATTTGAATCTGAATATTAATGAATCAAATTTGGATGGTATATCTAATTTGATTCATTCCAATCCATTAGCAGCCCTACCTAGGTGATGCCTTGAGGCCTTTGACAGCTAAAGCTTATTTTGATGGATAACATCAAATGGACACCCCTGATTTCTCTGTTTACACCTTTCCCAGATTAGGGCATCAGCAACCAAGTTACTGCTTGGTCTTGAACTTGAAGCCAAAATTCTATCCTATCTCAGAAAGTTCCAAATAGGCCAAGAACCTTATCCACCTCTCATCCATCTAATCACTACTTTAGTCTTTTTCCACTTCCAAACCTGTATACTCTCAAGTGGCAACTGATTTATAAACCCAAATAATAATGACATAACCAAAAGGCCCAAGTATTCAATGTTTGTGGACTATGACCTTTAAATGCATTTCCTATCTCTGATGGACCCAGATTACCCCATAGAACATCAATCAAGGTTCTGTTTAACCGTTGGTGCTACTGTGAAAAGGTAGGCTTCATTCTTTGCTATCTCACTCATGTTAAAAGTTGAAACATGGAGTTCTTCTCTAGTACAGATCCAGTGAACCACCCTAAAATTAATAAGATTGATCAAGACTGTTGGCAGTTGATTAAAAGTGGCCATTACCCAATGTGGTCCTGGCTATCTGGAATCTTTTTTTTTTTCTTTTTTGCACAAAGTGGCCATGCTCAGACTTGAACCTACATTGTCACACTTGTCAGCCCGAGATTTTACCATTACACCAAGCAATGATCCCTACTTTTGGCAGTTATTTCTTATCCTGAAAAATATCATGATTTCTTTTAAAACATTTAAAAGTAGAATTGTCCTTAAACATCTTCACACCATCCTCTCCCTTGTCCTTGGGGAAAAGAAAGATGGCTTGATTAGCAGGTTGCAAGCACCTGGAACCAAAAAAATGGAAAAAAAGCTGCTAAATGCAAGTGATATTGGGGGACTAGAGATCAGTAAGTGACAGGTGATCTCACTACTAGCCCTGCAAATTACATTTGGTGTAGTAAGAAACAGGGAGAATGTTTCAATTGTTGATTTTGATGTGCATTACTTGGGGAAACTGCAACTCTACCTGACCTGACAAAATAGAACAGTATTACCAAACTCCATTCTTAGTGAAGAAGATTATATTTACAAATTTTTCAATGTTACTATGCCATTTTCCATAGAAGTTTCATGAACATTTTATTGTAAATATCTGTCACTTGATGTGTATTCATTAGAGCTTTTTGTAAACATTGTTTTTGGTTTCATTTAAAGAAAAATAAACAAAATTTCAATTTGTTCTCCCAACTAAGAAGAGAGATTTAGACAAAAGTGATATCACCAAAATATTGAAACGATAACTATACAACACCTATAGCAATATGGAAAAGGAAGAAATCTTTGACTTAGTGATGCCAGAAGATCGGGTTTGGTGCAGACTTGCTCAACCTTACCCAACCCGAAACCCAATGAAAGCTGACCTTAACCTGATCCTATAGGGTCTGGTCAAGGTTGGTATAGCTTGTTATAGACAGGATTCATTTCCTTCCACTAAGATAACACTCCTTTTGGTAAGAAAGTGTTGGCCGTCCACTGAGGGTTGATACCTTGAGAAGACTAGAAGAAAAGTCCAACTAATCACATAGATAATGTGGCCACGTGCTACATTTCCTCCTAAGTTGTTCTATTCATAAAAAAAAAATATCCATCTTTTAAATTCTCAGGCAACCACATTTAGATCTTAAATGCAGAACCAAATCATATTTGGGTCATTTACGAGGCAAAGAAAATTAAGCTTCAGCAGTTCTTCCATGATGGGAGCCTTGTTTATGCATCTTGGTTGCAGGTTGGGAAGATTTCCCCCAGTTGTGAGAACGGCGGTGCCAGTAGATGGAAGATTTGAGCACATAGTCCTCTCTTGCAATGCTACTTCAGACCATGCAATCATTTGGATAGAGAGAGAAGCTCAAAGGGCTCTGGATGTAAGATAACTTCTTCCCTTTCTTGGCACTCAAGCTCCCTCTTTAAATCTTGTTTATGTGAGTTGTGCCATAGAATCAAAATGGCAAGTTATTAATGGAATTCACTGTTGGTTCTGTGTTTGTTTGACCAAGGGCTTTCAAAAACATCATAAGCCAAACCTGTTCTCATGAACAACCATCCCACAATGAATAGGAAAAGGCATAGTAATACTATGAATGATCCAGTATTGAATACTGGTGACAGTATCAGCAGGACATCTTCCTGTGCTTCCAAACATTCCTAACTCTACATATTCTTGTATAGCCAAAGCGGGAAAATGAAAATTAGTTCTGATTAGTTGAAGTATGGTTATTAAGTACTTACATGGTGGCTAACAAATATGGATTCCAAAATTTCCTCATTCTCAACTAATTAATCCACATCAACCTACTTTTGAAATTTGCTTTTAGGTCTTTGGAAGAGATTGTATTTTTTTTTTTTTTGATCAGTGGAAGAGATTAATTTATTAGATTTAAAGAAAGCTGTAGCAGTACAAATGATGACAGGGATGTCATCCCCAAGAGCTTATCAAATTACAGTTGCAAAGAATTCCCAAAAAGGCTGGCAAGTTCCCAGCATCCCAAAGTACATCAGATTACAATTTAGCCCAAAACAAGCTATCTCTATCAGCTCCTTTCTTTGCCAATACATCTGCCATTCCATTTGCAGACCGTCTTATCCACCTAAAAGTGGAATTGAATCTCTTTGCCAAGGTGGCGATCTCCCTAAAAGCATGTCTATATTTCCATGGAGCTGATCTGATATTCTTGGACCAAGATATGACTAACTGAGAATCTCCTTCCACTTCTAATTCCCTCACTCCAACTTGTACAGCAAGTCTTAATCCATATAAGAGAGCCATCACTTCAGCTTGTACTGAATCTCCAAAACCAATTGGTCCTAAAAATAATGCCACCACCACTCTGTTATGGGCCCAGGCGTAGGATCTCGTCACGGGTCGGTCCACGGGGAGAACCTCTAGCTTCCCCTTGCCCCTGCCTTTGCGTGCAGACCCTATCGTGGCGACCTAAGGGGTGATTTGTCCAAGAGATCACCCTAACTCTCCTCAACTCTTCTCTTGACTGAAATTCTTGGATGCCTTTATTCAATAATAGTGGCTCCTTAAATAGGAGATTACAAGAGTCCTGCTCTTAGGGAGACTCCTTGCTGAATAGGGAGACCTCCAACTCTATCTTGATATGATAAGACTGATAAGATAAGATAAGTCTCTCTTAATCCTAATCTAATAAGATAAGTCTCTCTTAATCCTAATCTAATAAGATAAGATAATCTCTCTTAATCCTAATCTAATAAGATAAGCCTCTCTTAATCCTAATCTAATAAGATAAGATAATCTAATCTACTAACTTAATAAGATAAGAATAACAAGATAGTCTAATATAATATGCTGAATGGATAAGATTGTTGTTGCCGAATTGGATAGGATGAGAACAYCGGATCATTGCTGCTGCTGCTCCCAATACGCGTCCACATCATTACTCCCCTCTTGGACTACGAGCTTGTCCTCAAGCTCGAATTCAGGATGGGTGTCGGGAAACACCGTCAAAGGAATCCCGGATAGGTAGAATGACTTTGCCCTCCTGGATCGGGGTCCAATGAAGAGGGTTCATCTTCGTCTTCCTCTTGTTTCACCAGGAGGCAGAAAAGTCTCTTGCACTTGTGCCCTACTGAGTAGAGTTCATCGCAATTAAAACATTGTCCCCTCGCCCTGCGTTCCGCCATCTCAGCCCTGGACAAGAGCTTAATAGGGGGTGCAACGACGCTGCTCCTCACACTGGATGCTGATCTGGAATTGTTGCTCGTCTGTGGCTTCCGTTCTTGGCTAGCTGCTGAATATGGAGCCATTCCGAGTGGTTCCGGGGATGCCCATGCTGATGGAGGCCACCCCATATTGAAGGTTCCGCGGCTGAGTTGTAGTTTGCGTTTGAAGGCGTGAGCTATATTCATGGCTGTAACCAGGTTGGGGGGATTCTGCATTTCCACGTCCACCCACAGGGGTTCTGCTAACCCAGCGGTGAACATGTCTACCTGCTGGTCCGGTCGCACTGAAGATGCCCTCGCGAGGAGGGTTTGGAACTGGTGCTGGTATTCTGCCACTGTGCCGGTTTGTTTAAGGTTAATCAGCTCGCCTAAGGGGTTGCTTGTCAGTGGGGGCCCAAATCTAAGAAGGCAGTAG